AAACAAAGTGCTGCACAACAGAGGTTTACTGTTAAAATTAAAAAGAAAACAAATGTGATTATTCCTTTAAAAATAAAGATCATATTTATTAGTAGTAGTAGCAGCATTGTTGTTACATTGAGTCTTAAGACTGCTAAATAGTAATATTTCTGATACAGTTTCTTCATGTTAAACTAAACTTTTATTTTGACGGGTTGCCGTGAAGAAATTGCAGCTGCTGTTTATGTGATATGAAGGTAGTTTTGTCAAATGAAACGGTAAAATGCTAATGAAGTGACTCTCAGAGCAGCTGGACATGAATACATATTCGTGTATTCATATCATCATAGTGAGACGACAGAGGCTGAAAACACCGCGAGCATCGTCTGCGCTTTAGTAAGTGTGTAGTAAACAAAACAGTGCGTCGCACCATCCGCCATTCATTCATTTATTGCGGAAATCATGGCGCCTTCACGCGTGATGTCAAATGCTTCCACACACTTGTAGTATTACTATAGAATTTTACCTGAGCATTGCAAATCACACATATTGCTTTGTTCTTGGTTCTTGTCAACAGTATCTCCGCCATGATAAGCACTGAATGAATGACAGGATTTCCGTTGTAACACTGTGTAAGGGTTACATCTAGTGGAGAAGACTAATGAGAAGATTCACATTAATCAGATCTTGTTTAAGATGTTTGCTGAAATAAATACCGGAAAAGATCGATTTGCGGCTTTTGAGAATCGATATCGAATCGACGTCATATAAAAAAACGATTAATCGAAATAGCTATTTTTTTGCCCAGCCCTAAATACTGCATCCTGATAATGAAGAAAAGCAGTGATATTTGCTAGGGATAGAGAGTGTGAAAGATCAATGGTCAGGTAAAAAAATTTAAAAAGTCCAGGACAGGAGCTATAAAATTCAGTGTGTGATTCTCACAGCAGGGAGCAATAATCCATAACATACTCATTCAAAGGATGTAGGATCATTGGGCTATATAGACATAATGTGATCTTCAACCCAGATCTAATTTAGTTTAATACAGTCATGTTCTAACTTTGCATTTTTGAATTTCTGGTTCCATCGTCCCAAAATAAATGTTTTTTTTTTTTTTTAATGCATTTACCTTTCCTGATGAAACTGAAAAACCTAGAAACAATATTATTTAATACGAACAGCAGTGGACTTTATGGTTACATTGCACTCTTGATTTTTTGTTTTTTGGGTGTGTGTACAGTATGTGTGTCTTGAACTAAAAAAGTTGCTTAAAGTTGTCCGGGACATGAAACATCATCACGACAAACATCATATACACACTACCACTTGTGTTTATACCCATACTCTTGCGCACTATTCCAAATCAAACATTCCAATTTGTAGATTTCAAATAAAGATTGAATTTTTTTTCTGAGACTATTTTTAGTCTATAATATTGATATAACTTCTTGCAGTAGCATACAAAGTCACCCCCTGATGCTTCATTTTAAGAGAAATTCTGAAATGTAATAATCCAAACCAAAAACAGTGATGACTGAAAATGAAATATGTGCACTGAATATATAATATCTCATCAAATAGACTGAGGGAACAGCTTTCTGTTAATACAAAATAGCACTCTTCAGTATTTTAGGCAAGCAGCAGCCAACATTTGCTTCTTAGCATACAAATGCATTACTTTGTGTTCAATGTACTTACTTAATACCGAGTTTCATGCACAGTATCTTCTGCAATATCTAACAATTTGTGACAGATGCCTGTTTATGATAGGTTTGCAACAGTGACAGTGTGACACATTCTAGAACTCGATCTTGACACATTTTCTCTGGCATATCCTGCAGCTCCAGGAACCAACAGAAGCTATATGAAATGAGGAGGACAGTGTGACGCTACGGGCTGTCACGTAATCCTAATCAACAGGATGGCTCTCGATGATTCCTGTGCAAGCTGAAGTCAGCACACGGGTGAATGAGTTTGTGTAAGTCGTCTTTGTATGAAGAGTGATTAATCTGAATGAAAATGGTGGGGGGAAATTATGTGCGCGGTGCAAATGATTATGATTACAGGATGTCAAACTGGAGTGTTTTTTTTCCTGGGTAAGTGTAGGTGAAATTGAAAACCCCTGGATGATATTTGCAGTCAGTTTAGACGGAGAAACTGGAATGGATCGATACACCTCTAAACTGTCTCCTGCTGTTGATTATGGTGCGGGAACGTTCTTGCTGGTGGTTGGTAAGTGCTGTTTTTTCACACGGCTATTGAAAAATACAAACAAGGTGTTACATTTTCTACATTAATGACAACCCTCTGAATTATACCTAGGAAGTCATGTTGAGTGTCTGAAGAGTGATAAAAAGATTCATAACCTTCTTCCAGGTTCTGTTTAAATAGGACTTAGGGCTGCACGATTATGACAAAAATCATAATTGTCGATTATTCCCTTGAAATTGTAATTGCGATTATTAATTACGATTATCACAATTTACATTGAATGATGTTTATACCATTGTTTGATGCAACTGCTTGCCGTATTTTTATATGAAAATAAACAAGCTGAAAACACTCTAACTGAAAAACCTTTAGTGCTTTTCTATAGTATTAAGCCTCAAATAAATGTCAAATATACATCGGATTGGTTTCTTCTTTAAATTAAAAAAGTAAAAATATGAATGGTATTATAATTTTATACTAAAACTAAAACTAAAACAATGGAAAAACCCTTAAGATAACATGTAGAAAGAAAAAAACATATCTTAAGCGTGCAGAATAACATAAGTGGACTTTGAACGATTAATTGCCGCTTTGGACGATTACGTAATTGTGGCATCCATAATTGTAATCGCGATTAGAAATTCGATTAATTGTGCAGCCCTATTGTCACTGGTGAAATATATAATCTGTAGGATCCACATTCTCAGATTTGATAAATGCATTTAGTTTAAATGAGACTTTGAGAAACTGAAACATTCACACAAAACATATTAATTTTTTTCCAAGTTGTTTGATCTACATATATTTTTTTATGTTACATTAGACTGTGTACATAAAATCTGTGATTTTCATATGCAAGGGATTAGCAGACATTGGCACACTGTTATCACTAGTAGACACCATTAATCGCCTTGTCCATCATTTCATCACAACATGCTAGGACCAGCTTTGGACCAGCTAATGACCACCACACACGCTCAAAACCAGCTTGTTCAATAGCTATCATCTTTAGCCAGGTATCCTGAATGTATTAACTAAATGTTACCTATGATATTAATGATTGCTCGATGACGTCTTATCTCAGAATGGATTTGATACTAAACAAGCTGCAACTCATTAGAAATCGTACCAACTAGATGCAGAATGCACAGTTCAATTTATGAAATATCAGTAGTTGACATTGGTGACATGACTGACTAGAAATGACCAAGCAATGCTTTCTTACAATGTTCAAAAGCCTTGCAATCCAGAGTTTTAGTCATTATTTCAATCGGTCAATATAAGCCTCAAGTACAGATTGATCAATCATTAAATTACGTAAAATAATTAATCAAGCCTCTGTCCCAGGTTGCATTCAGATTAACCAGAAGTGTTATTAAATCTAGATGGAGATTATGTCATTGACGCAGTATATTATGCTTTTCACCATTATTAGCAGCCATGTACAGAAAGAAATTTCAAAGTCAGAAAGCCATGGAAACCAAAGTCTCTTTTATATTGCAGCTGAGACAAGTTACTTCCACATAAACTCAGGTATTTTAGCCTAGCAGGTGATGAAAGCCACTACACACGTTAATGAATCACTTGTATAATTGGAGATGAACTCGGCAACCAGCACTACTGCATACAAATACAGTCACATCAAGTTCTAAAGAATGCGCTTCTCATCTTCAAGGCTTCACTCGACATATGCGTTCACTGGGCCTCATTCAGGAAAAATTCGTAAATATAGGAGTAAATTCTGAGTAATTTGCGTGTAAAACGGACCTTCCCGAAAACTCTCCT